ACATTTACTAAATTTAGCATAGAGGACTTGCAACACAACTCTCAAATGGTCCATATGGTCACTCTCACTTCTAGAATAGATCAAGATATCGTCGATGAACACAATGACAAACATGTCGAGATATTTTCGAAAAAATCTATTCATAAGGTCCATAAAATCTGTGGGGCATTAGTTAGACCAAAAGACATAACCACAAATTTGTAGTGATCGTACCGGGTCCTAAAGGCCATCTTAGGAATGTTAACCCCTCTTACCGTTAGTTGATGGTAACCCGAACGAAGATCTATCTTGGAGAAATAGTTAGCCCCTTGAAGTTGGTCGAATAAATCGTCAATTCTAGGAAGAGGATACTTGTTCTTTATAGTCACCTTGTTCAATTGGCAGTAATATATACACATTCTAAGGGACCCATCCTTCTTCTTTATAAACAATATCGGAGCACCCCATGGAGAGATGCTTGGTTGAATGAAACCCCTGTCTAACAAGTCCTTGAGTTGCTCCTTCAACTCCTTAAATTCGACCGGAGACATTCTTTAGGGAGGGATGGATATGGGTTGTGTATCCGGCAAAAGATCAATGCCAAAGTCTATTCCCCGTTCAGGAGGAATGCCGAGCAAGTCATTGGGAAAGACTTCCAGAAACTCACTCACCACGGGGAGCGACTCTAAAGAAGGGACTTTGGACTCAACATCCATGACCCTAACAATATGATAAATGCACCCCTTGGAGATCATTTTCCTAGCTTCTAGACATGAAACAAATTGACCTCTAGGAATAGAATCCCCCCTTTTCCACTCTAAAATTGGCTCCTTTGGAAATTGAAATTTGACCACCCAGGTCCTACAATATATAGAAGCATAACATGCATGCAACCAATCCATGCCCAAAATTACATCAAAATCAAGCATATCTAATTCTACCAAATCAACCAAAGTGACTTTATGAGACTAAGAAATAGGACAACTCCTGTAGACTCTTTTTGCCACTACCGAGTCACCTACCGGGGTAGACACCGAAAAAGGTTCTTCTAACACATCGGGGAGTATTTCAAATTTCATAGCCACAAAAGGCGTAACAAATGACAAGGTGGCACTGGGATCTAATAGTGCATAAACATCAATGGAAAAGACTTGCAATATACCCGTTACAACATTCGGGGAGCTCTCTTGGTCACCTCGGGATTGGAGAGCATAGAAGCGGTTCTTCTTGGGAGTATCGTAATTTAAACCACTAGGAGGGACTTTCTTGCCCTCTCTTCCTCGAGCCTTTAGCATGGTACAATCTCTCTTCATATGGCCACTCTTCCCACAACTAAAGCAACCATCCGTGCCAACTAAGCACTTGCCATTATGCTTTTTGCCGCACTTTGCACAACTAGGTCTTTCAACATAAGAACCACCACTATTACCTCTTTGTGGCTTAGGGTTAGACACCCTATCTTTGTTGCCCTTTGGAGCACTTGAAGATCCTTGGTTGGAAAACCTTTTCTTGAACCTTGGTTTACCTTGAACCTCAAATTTACCCTTGGAAGAATTTCCATCATCGACCCTTGCCCTCTTCACTTCTCTATTCACTTGCTTGAGCTTTTGTTCCTCAATTTGTTCGGCATGTACCATAAAACGTGCAATATTCATACTTGGGATGAACACTACCGAACGACATTCATTGACTACCAAGTCGGATAACCCCATAACAAATTTTTTCATCTTAACTCTAGAGTCCGCCACTAAGGTTGGAGCATATTTAGACAATTGGGTGAACGTAAGACTATATTCCTTCACACTCAAACTTCCTTGGCGAAGGTTGATGAATTCTTGCATCTTTCGTTCCCTCAACTCTAGAGGAAAAACCTATCAAGGAAGACCGACTTGAACAATCCCCAATATATCGGGCCTGCTCTTACGGGTCTCTCACCCTTCCATTGCTCATACCAAACTTGAGCCACATCCTTCAATTAGTAGGTGGCTAGTTCCGCCTTCTCTTGGGAAGACACTCTCATAGCATCAAGCACCTTAAGCACCACATCAATAAACCCTTGTGGATCCTCATCCACTTTGGAGCCATAGAACATAGGGGGATTCATTCTTGTGAAATCCCTTATCCTTGAAGCGGTTGTACCCATATTGGGGTTCACTTAAACCCTTGCATCCCTAGTGACTTGAGCCGTTAAGTCATGAGTCAATGTTGGGAGAGCCATCCTTATTTCCACATTTGTCATAGCCCCCTAATCATTAGAAACTTGAGGACCTTGGGAAGGAACTCCCTCATTCAAATTCTTCTTTTCCCTTCTTCTTACGTTCGCCCTTCTTGTATTCATATCATATATACACAAAAGAAGGGTTAGGAAAAGGAATTCATAGAGTTAAAACTCTAAGGAACGATTAAACAATAGTGAAAGAAATGAAAGTTACTAAACATCTTATAGCCTCTCATTCATAAGTGTAGCGCGCTTCACACTCATTAACAAGACTCTACTAGACGTGGTTCATGAGACATCATCTTAGAACCATTCTAAAACTAATGCTCTGATTACCAAGTTTGTCACGACCCAGGGGTACCCCCTAGACGTAACAAGGCGTACTTGACCCCGAAGAGGTCGCATACAATCTCTTGCATAATCATACACATAAAGTCATAGATATGATGTAGAAAATTTAAAACATTTACAATCAAAGTCAACTTCTTTTACATAAATGAAAATAACAGTCTAGACCTTGTCTCAATTACCAAGACAATAGAGAGTAAAAATAGGGTCAAATTCCCTTTACATCAATAAGGTCTCAAACATATAAAGTACAATAGAAGCTAGAAATGAATAATGTCTTGTCCTCGAACCATGAGGACTCACCAAGCTTAGGGAATAGTCAACCCAAGCTTCACTTGAAAGAAGAACTACGTCTCAACGACCGAACATACACTCATAGTAAATGTAGAAAATATGGGTTAGCACAAATAATGCACTAAGTATAGAAGCCATGCAGAAAAATAATTGAAACATGCATAAAAGGGACATTTAGTTGAAATCATGTTTTTATCAAGTTTAAAAGCCCTTAGGTACATTTATGAAGAAACATAAGTCAAACGAACATATCATCAACCTAAAGCCATACTAGTACAATGCAAAGGTAAGATCCCATAACCCTACCAAATGCTTAGTATCACATTTAAGTCACCAACAACATACATATCATACCGTTGCCTCATTCATAACCAGTATACATAAGTAAGGAGTCATTCATATTCATAACTTGTAACAAGTAAAGTCAACCTTAACATTCATACATATCATACATACATAATCCATAAGTCTTCATAACATAAGATAACCTCACCATAACCCCTCTTAAAGTCTAATTGTGCAATTATAAGTGAAGTCTCATACCCCCCCACTCATACTAAGTAGTACCTCTTAAGAAGTCATAATAAAAGTCCATGTTCTTATCATAGTACATATTCGAATCATATAGGGATAATAGCCTTAACTGACATAGACCATGTAAGTGACATGGAATCCGATGTTCTACACCTACACCAAAAAGAGGTGTCCTACTTGCCTAAGGTAGAACGTACATTTTAGCTTTTAGGTGGATCCACTAGCTAAAGACCTATGTGGGCACATAGTTATGGGATAGGAAGATTGCTACTAGAAACCCTAACTACTAACGTGGAGGTTTCCATCTCATGAGATAACCATAGTGGGAACCCAACAACTAGCGTGAAGGAACCCATCTCATACTCATATCCACTCGGTGCTAAGCATAATTTCCTTTAAAAGTCACATTAAGTCTTTACTTAATTTTAGGTTCATGAACGAATGCACTAGGAACTCAACCCAACAAACATCATAATAGCTCATAGATTCATTAGTTGAGGATGTACTTTCAACCATGTAATCATCAACATGTGAGTAAACCTTTCACATCATATTCATAGTGTGTTCATGAGAATGGCCTTTCAATCAACACAACAAGTTTATCATAAATATACATACATACTTCATGCATAATCAAGTGTAAGGGTATAGGGAAGAAGGATCTTGCATCAATACCACAAGCACACAATAGTCATAGGATCATCACTATCTAAGTGAATCACAAGTTCATATACAATCCTCATCAGCATGTATAAACCCTAGCAAGTTGCCCTTTAAGGCTAAGAATAAAGATCAACCCTAATTTCTAGAATTACCATATTAGATAGAGATATATCATGATTCAACAACATAATCAATTGTCAAGCTCCCATCATCAATCAAGCCATACCATAGTTCACAATTTAGGAAGAGAGGGAAATCATGGGTCCAAGAAACATTTTCATCAAAATCCAAAAATACTCCTACATTCCAATAATAAATCATCATAATCAACCAAAATAAACCATAGTTAAATAATGGAAAACGTTTTGGAAGAAGACCCATGTCATAGATTGAAAACCCTAGGTTTGGGGAATTTGAAATCTTGAAAACATAATTTGAAGGGGATCTTTGGGTGATAGCTTCCCAAAGATGAAAAGCATCCATACCTTGACTAATAAACTCTAAGAAATTTCTAGAAGAACCTTTGGAATCCACAAACCCTAGCTTCAATAGCTCATTTCTTCTTCCTTGAGTTTAGAGAGAGAACTTTTGAGAGAAGATGGTTTTTCTTGGGTTTTCTCTTTTATTCTCTAGGAGTAACTAAATTGGAGGAAATTTGACTTTAAAAGGTTTATATACTTGTTAGGAAAAGAGTATGAAAGTGTTGGTTCATGTTTTGGAGGGATTACTTAAAGACCCTAACTTAAGTTTTAAAAACTGCCCAAGGCACGCTTGAGCTCGCCCTTTGGCCCTTCTTGGCTCGCCAAGGGCATTAGGCGGCACGCCTAATCGACCCTTGGCTCACCTAAAATTACCGAATGCTCCCTAAAGGAGTCATTCACTTGGGCAATAGGGCAGGCTCTTAGGCGATTCGCCAAGTGGGCATCCTCAAAACTTGGGGGTTGTTTTACATACACCTCCTTTTTCAGATACCCATCAGGAAGGCACTTTTGACGTCCATTTGAAACAGCTTGAACTCCATATAAGTAGCAAAAGCTATTAAAATTCTGATGACTTCCATTCTGGCTGCAGGTGCAAAGGTCTCATCATAATCAATCCCATCCTCTTGATTATACCCTTGTACCACTAATCTTGATTTGTTTCTGGTGATGGTTACATGCTCGTCAAGCTTGTTTCGGAAAACCCATCTAGTCTCTATAATGGTTCTATTGAGAGGTCTGGGGACCAGGTGCCACACTTTGCTCGTTTCAAACTGATGAAGTGTTTCCTGCATTGATGTTACCCAGTCAGCATCCTTTAAGGCCTCTTTGATGTTCCTAGGTTCGATAGTGGACATAAAGGCTGAATACGCAATTAGATTTCTTGTTTTGGATCTAGTTTGTATTTTAGAGTCAAGTAGAGAAACAAGATTTTCCAGAGGATGGGAAGATTGATGATCCATTCGGACTTTCTTGTTATCTCTTCCTCAAGATCAGCAGCAAATTTATCTTCTTCAGGCTCTTTGTTCTAAGAGTCTCCCTCCTGAGCTGCACCAGAGGGACCAGGTTCCTTTGTGGGTTCTGCATTGTTTCCTTCATTTGAAACTTGTTCATTACCAGGAGTTTGGATTACCCTGTCTTGTTGACCCTCCATCAGTTCCTCCAATTCAATGTCTTCACTATGTTCAGCTTTGTTCTTATCATCAGATTCATCAAATATCACATGCATACTTTCTTCAAAACACAGAGTTCTTTTATTGAAAAATTTGTATGCCTTGCTGGTAGAGGAATACCCAACAAACACCCCTTCATCACTCATGGCATCAAACTTGCCAAGATCATCCTTTCCATTGTTTAACACAAAGCAATTGCAACCAAAGGGCTTCAGATGAGCAATTAAAGGTTTCTTGTCATTCAGCAACTCATAAGGGGTTTTCTTGATTACTGACATGATGAGACATCTGTTTGTAACATAGCAAGCTATGCTGACTGCTTCTGCCCAAAAGTTCGTTGCAAGTCCTGAGTCAATCAACATGGTTCTAGCAATATCCACCAAGGTCATGTTCTTCCTCTCCACAACCCTATTTTGCTAAGGAGTTCTTGGTGCAGAGAAATTGTGATGAATTCCATTTTCAGCACAAAAGCCTTCGATTTGAGTATTTTCAAACTCTGTACCATGGTCTGATATGATGCTTGCAATCTTGCAGTTAATCTTCAGGTGAATTGCTTTGGCAAAAGTGATCAGTAATCCGGTTGTCTCATCCTTAGTCCACAAAAACATGTTCCAGGTGAACCTTGAGAAATCATCAACAATTACCAGAATGTACTTCTTGCCTCCTCCGCTTTGAATTCTGACAGGTCCACATAGATCCATGTGGAGAAGTTCTAGTGGTCTGGTTGTGCTTACACCTTTCTTGGGCTTGAAAGATGATCTTGTTTGCTTCCCCCTTACACAGGCATCACAAACTTTGTTGTCAGAAAACTTCAGCTTAGGCAATCCACAGACCAGGTCCCCTGCAACAAGCTTGTTCAGCAAAGGCGAGCTCACATGTCCCAATCGTCTATGCCATAGATTTGCATTGTTAGTCTGAGCACTTAGACATGTGAGACTGTCCCCTTCTATTGAGTCAAGATCTGCAACATACATATTTTTTAACTCTTTTAGCAGACATAACAACTTTGTTAGATACACAGTTACTAACTAGGCACACAAAAATTTAACTTTATTTCCCTTATCGCAGATTTGAGATACACTTCACAAATTATATTTCAAACCATTCACATAATAAACATTGTCTATGGAAGGTTCTGTTGATCTTCCTATTTTCCCAATTTCGAGAATGAAACCCTTTTTCCCATCACCAAATGACACACCACCACCCTGGTGTGCATCCAAAGAGAGGAAGTTTTGAGTGTCTCCAGTCATATGCTTTGAGCATCTACTATCCATGTACCAGCATTGATTGCTTCCTCTCTTCTGCACAAGAATCACTTATTAGACTTAGGAACCCACTTGAGATAGAGTTCCCAAAAACTGTCAAAAGGTTTAATAAGAAACTTTCTTATCCCATGGGGGCAAAGTATTCTTGCTAAAATGGTGGTTGGGACCAGGTACCTTTTTCTTTTCTACATTTATTTTTCTTGACTTGAGGAAGTTCTCCTGGCTTTCTTTTACTCTTTTTAGAGACTCACAATTTTACTTCAGATGACCATTTCTTCCACAATGGGTACACAAAAGATTGTCAGAGACATAGATATATTTACTGTGAGGATTGTAGGGAGGTTCTATATGTCTACAACTTAAGCCCTTTTTGCTGTTGAACTTCTAATTAGCTAAGTTTGAAAGGATCTTAGACGAATCAATCCATTTCAGGGAATGGTTTAGCTCTTCTTTGATCTTACTTGAGTCCTTCATTAGTTGAGAATTATTTTCAAGAGAAACAACTAATTTAGACTCAGATGCCTTTAACTTCTCTTCTAATTCAACCTCAAAGCTACTGAGTTTTCCTTTCCCACCCTCAGAGGTACTAGGTCCCTCGTTGGGCTGCAGACTCTTAGATTCTAGAATAACTACCCTAACGCTCATTTCAGGCATTTAAGAGTTAAGGGCTGCCTTTTCATCCTCACATAGACTCAGTTTTTCACTTAACATCATATTTTCAGTGGTTAACTCATCTACTGAGTCAATTAGTACAACAACATGTTTTCTCAATCTCTTAATGGATATATTCATGCAACTAATCAATGAGGGATGAATAGGAAAATCTATAAGCTCCTCCCTTGCTTGGTGTTGCTTGGCATCCTGTATCACTACAAACTAACAAAGAAACAGTTGTATCATGGTCAAGGGGGGAGGGAAAGTAGAGAACAATCGAGGAAAACGGAGAAAAATGAATTCAGTAGAATGTGAGAAGCACTCGTCGAGACCTTGAAAGGAAACCATTACTACTGTAATGGAGAAAAGGAGCATCTTCAATTAATGTCAAATGATACAGATGGCCTGAAAGAGAAATTCATAATAGGTTCAAGCCTTTCATATTCTTCAACAAAATATTCCATGAATCTGATTGGGAATACATTACATTTGTGTATGGTATTTTATATATTTATGAGTAGTGAAAGAGACTCATAGGGAGAACTTGAGAGAAGACTCTCCTACATCCTATTATTTTTTAGGCTTAAGTAATCTACTATCCTTTAAAGTTGTCTGCATATTTACTCAGACACCTCAACTAGGGTTAGTATCTATTGAACACCTAAATTGTTCAAAATGTGTTCTTATTAAACACAAAATGCTGATATGGCAGAAAAATTATTTTTCACTTTCCTTTGGCGCGTGAAGAAATCTGAAATCGTATTTTATTTTCATTTTCGAAAAAATAATTTTTTTTAAATAAACTATGTAATTGGATTTGTAAAAAGAAAGAAGATTGAAGACTTTTGGACACCGTTTCTTCATCACTCTTGGATGAGTTTCCCTCTATATCTTTCTCTCACGTATTAGGTATGAAAAATACGTTTTTTATTAGAATTGAATTTGTAAGTAATTTGATAAGATGTTGAGTTTTGTGGTTTGTGAAAAGAAATGGTGCATGGAAGAAGATGAAGAAGAAAGAGGGTTGGGGTAGCATGGGGCTAGGGCTGGGTAGAAAATGTATTTGAAATAAATTTTATTTTTTAATTTAAAAAATATTCTTCTAAAATTTTTGGGGTTCACTTGTCACATGTCATCTTTTCATTAATCATTTTGTCATGTCATCGAAAGTGCATCCCACACACTACAAAAAAAATTTGTTTATTATAGAAAAATGTCTAATAGGAACAAGTTTTGTATAGATAAAAGTGTTCAATCGGTAATAGTCTTAGTTGAAGTGTTTAAATGAATATGTGGACAACTTTGAGAGAATGTCGATGACTTAAGCCTATTTTTTAAGTGTAAAGATAAAATGTCCAATTAATCATTTTTTTCTCTGATACCTCTTTATTATTAGCACACCAAGCTTTATTGGACTTGATGATTAGAGCCCTTGAACATAACGAATTGCATATGATTATGTTTTAAATGTGTTTACAAGTTGTATTTTACCTATTCATGTATAAACAGGAAGAACCGCATATGAAAGAGTAATGACAATAGCAAAATATGTTTAAAATTAAACATCTACTAAACAAATTTACTACGAATTTTGCCATTTCATTCTCTTCTTTTACAAAACTCATTATGAACAAAGAAGGAAGCAATGAGCATTAGTAGCATTGAATCACAAACAAACCGACTTGTTAATATCTTAATATGCATTTGTTGAAAAGAATAGCTCAACCTTGGGAGATGCTCTAGGAAAACGCATCAACTCTTTGCTGATATTTCCTTCTTCCCTAAACCCTGAGGTTTTCTCTTGCTTAATGTTCATCCTAACCAAAGATGGAGCACGGGCAAACAATAACTTTATGAAGAACAACTCGGATTTTGAACCCCTAAAACAATGCATAACGACATCTTCAAGTTTGTTGATCAGCAGTCGGTCCAAGCAGGCTGGTTTGTCCATATATTTCATAACTGTTTCATTAGTGTCACAAGCAGCACAAACCTAATTAATGGTATAAGGCAATAACATGTTTTAGCTTCTCATGTTTAAATATATGAAGCAAAAATAGAGCATATCATACATACAAACATACAGCTTGTTTATGGCAACATACATGTACCATTTATTCTTACCCAAATCTGAAGTTTACTCAAGTTGGGACAGTTCTTAATTAACTCGGGAGCGTAAGAAGTCAGGCATATTCATGCAACTAATCAATGAGGGATGAATTGGAAAATTGTTCTTGACTTATGGAGTTTCCTTTAACAAATATGTTCAGACCCCTTGGAAATAAAAGTAAATTCATTTTGCATATTTTGAGTTGTATTTTTAAATGCTAGTGTGAACAATATTAATATACCTTTTGGAAAGTGTAAAAGTTTCCCTTCAAGTATCTTAATGAAGTTGAGATGTATGAAAATTATGATGTTTTGGATCAGCAACTATCCAACAAACATTTCAAGCCAAATTTTCTGGCCAAAAAGACTTTTCCATTAATAATACTATCTCTAGTCCATATTAAGTGAATTGTTGAGACATATGCTTATATTGTATTATGAATTTGTTTAGAGTCATAGAATCTTAATTTCCTGTTTTCAGTTAAGCTCTTCTTCAATTGATTTAAATAGATATTTTCCAAAAAGTTAGAGGTTGGTGTGTGAAAGGACTTTTTGTTGCGGTTACAGACAATAATTAATATGAATATTTCCTTGTTACTGTATATTGAATTTGTTGCCTAAAGTATCTGATATTGTTGGCCTTTGTTCTCCTACAGTTCCTTTCTGATAAAGATGACTCTCACCAACAAACATGTATTTCTGAAATGACCTTTTATTATCCATTGTACATTTTCCTCATTTCTCAACTTTGAATTGATA